GTACCCTACTGGAAATCGCAGCCATGGTTTCCGATATTTACGAAATTACTTGTTGGTGACTATATATCTGTATGACAAAATAAATAAAAAAAAAAATTGTTGCGTCCTGTGGTCGAGCCTTACCCTGCTTATAGAATTCTTATCAGGAGATCGTATGAAGGTAGAGGATTGAAAATGGTAGATGTTCTGTAAAATTAATATTTTAGTTTTAATAAGTCCTTCGGTAAACAATATCATTGAATTTTTAAATGAACAATTTGTTAAAGGCTTATTAAGTAACTCTATTTTCAATACTATTAGATCGTGTTGAATGTTTTGTCAAAGAATACAGAGGATCACTTGATACATCGTTTTTTGAAGGGTGTTCATAAACTTCGTCCTACATTTCCTAGATATTGTCATACGTGGGACCCGTAATCTCTTTTATCTTACTTATTATCTTTTGCTTATACTACTTGCTCTTTGCACAGCACATAGAATAAAAACTATTTCAAAAATAGAGATAGGGAATATTCGTAACCAGGGGGAGAATGTTAATAATAACTTTCTCAAAAAAAAACCTGAGATATGTGTCGCATCGGTATTATTGTTTTACATTGAGAAAACTAAATTGATAAGAGGTAATATTGAGAAATTACTAATTACACATCGCCCTACCATGCAGCATTCTATAAGACTGTTTCAAGGTGGATACAGAAAATGTTAAATAAAGAAGGCACTGATACGAATATTTCTTAAGTCTATAGTATTTAAGGCATGCCGCTTCTTTAGCGGCATTTAGAGCTGGAGTTAACATAGAAATCGATTAGAGCTGCAGCCGGTTGATCAAAGATTTCTCAGAAGTTTATAACAGGCCGCTTATCAATGACAATGAACTAGCGAGAAATATTAACTCCCGATTTACAAATTAGAAATCTAAAGTTTGTTTAATTTTAGAGATTAGCCTAATGGAATATAGATACACATATTCGTATTTTGATATGGCATTAGATTATAAAATAATGAAAACATATAATTTGTTACTTTGTACTCTGTCTTGTATTATTTTTAATGGAATTGTATAAGAATGAATAAGAATTTTGATAAAATTTTATTGATTAAAGTTACTTATCATTATAAGGACTTTACTTAAGAAAAAAGAAGAATATCGCTCCCGCACTTTAAACATCTACATGTGTGTTCTATTAGGACTGGACTAGAAAGTATAATTTGAGATTAAACGACTTACCTGTAAGGAAGTTCAATCGTAATTATACGACTAGTCCGGTCCGTATAGAACATCCCTCTCTTTAAAGTAAGGGCTTACTTTTGTACATTACCCAACCCGAAAGGTCGCGATTACTAAAACGCGTAATGAAGTATGGGTGATGTGATGGGATAGGAAATCGTTTTGTTTTCTTTAAAAATAGCATAAAATGAAGCAACTACATGTGTGTTCTATACGGACCGGACTAGTCGTATAATTACGATTGAACTTCCTTACAGGTAAGTCGTTTAATCTTAAAACATACAGGCATTAAAAAATACTTAGCCACTGTCTTAAATTTGTTAGAATACAAATTTAATTTAAAAATACCCAATTTCAGTTAAATTTAAACCACAATATCCAATATTTTATAAATAGTTGGAATAGAAATCAGTGAGAGTACTGTCTCACTAAAAATTTAAATTTAAACAGTTGTAAAATAAATACCATTATTTGTATTAAATTAAAATACTTTCGCGTTCCAGGAAAAAGTTTCACTACTATACTCTGTTTTTAAACTAAGAGGAGCGATTTGAATTTAAGTTGGCAATTCTGTAGCCTTCTGATTGGTCAGATTACAGTCAGTTTCACACATTTTTTTTTAGCATGAACATCAGCTAATAATTGATATTGTTGACAGTTCTGACATTTTATAATTTTATATCTCATCCATTACTTAGTTTTTTACTTTATTTCGTAAATAATAGTTCTTCAGTAAGCAATTGTATTGAAAATCTACAATTATGGATCCTTCTACACTGAGTACTATTAAAGGTAGCAATTCCTGAAAAGCCTTACAAGAAAGGGAAGACACATTATTTTACATGCTGATTCTGAAGGTTTTGTAGAAAATGCATTATTGGTTTTTGAAGGTAAAAAGATGGGAGATTACCATGAAGAGATGAATTCCGAAGTATTTTACAAAACCACGATACACAAACAACGGTATGCCGGTACGCATGTAGCAGTCTATCTCTCTCCCACAACGTGACGTCACCTTGGATTCAGAATTTTAAATCTTTAATGTAAAATATGTATGGAGACGTACAATTTCCGTCACGATAATTTTATTTAAGTTTTTAATAGATAGTTTCATATCTGCGGTAATAAAGTATAATAATTGCTATTTGCAAATACAATTTGTGTGTGTTTATTCATTGTTTATACCTATCAGGCATGTGCTAAAGGCGGATCGCGGGAAGAATATTCTGGGATAGCTCGACAAAAATCTAATTTTTAAGTTAAATTATATTTAAAAAGGATCTATAAAATATATAATTTTCATTGTTTAATAAAAAAAAAATATATTTCATTGAAATCAAATAAATTGTTTTTTAAGTTAACTGGTGATATTATTTATAACTATTATGTAAAAAAAAAAAAAATTTGCAACATGTTTTATAAATATCGGAACTACTATGGTAAGAAAAATACAACAGATTTAGAGTTTTTATTTGGAACAATATTGTTGGTTATACAGGGTGATTTACAAAACTTGTAGTTTCTAAAATAATACCTAATTATTTCTTATTTGTGAATTTGGATAGCTTTTTTTCCAGTTTTCGTTTACAGTTGAAACTTATCTTCCTGTTAATATCCCTTAATCTAATATACGTTCGTGTTCTACTTAAACACAAAATTACTTCAAATTGCACGGGTGTTTTTTGCAACTGAGCTGCAGTTCTTTGAGCTAACTTATTGAATATATCTTTCTCTTTGCTTAAAGACTGCCCGTGCATTTTGTAAAATTCGCCTTCTAGAACTTGCGCAACTTGCGTTTGGCATTATGTGAGAGCTGATATGGAAAGTAGATTTATAATCGCACAAGGGTGGAAACTGGAAAGTAGATTCCTATTCATACGCGTGTGATGATAATAAGGGCACTTTCCATAAAAAGTGTGATATGTGTCCCTTTCCTAAGTGGTCGTAAATAGGAGCTTGTCTTAAAACACCTACCTATCTCATTTATCATTTTTTAAATTAACGGTATCTAATAAGGTTCTTACTTACCATTTTTTAAATTAATTTTATCTTCCCGCCGACAAGCTTGTATCCACTGCTTCGCCAAATCTTCATTTTTTGGAAATCCAAAGTATTTTATGCCCGTTCCTTGTGTTTTTCTGTTATTATTTTTACATGTCGCCACTGCACAGCTCGGCATTTTTCTTAAAATGTATACTACTTTTAAATTGATATATTTACAAATTAAACGTACGTTGTAATAGTTAACACATAAACAACAAACACAAAGACTCACTACCCGATATTATACAAAAATCGAACAAAATTCTAACAATAACCATTTAAATTAAAATGTGACATTTATGTTTTGAATCCATAGTGACGTCATGCGCAGAGACGGTCGAATTTGAGTTTACCAAAATGATTAAAATGTAACTAAATATTCAAGCAATTTTATTTATTAGAATAGAATAAAACTATTTACAAAATTGTTATAACATTTAAAACACAATCTACTACTTTAGGGATAATCTTAATTTGGCACAATGAGTTAACATTACTTTCACAAAAAATATTTTAAAAATACTTAAAATTAATACATAGGTATGTATGAATAGTTCACTTTAAAAAATATATGTTGACATATAGTGTTATGAAAATTTTGGTTCCAGTTTTCAAAACAAATTCTGACTCATAGGCCTGTACACTTTTGAATGCCTTTATTTGCCCTCTAGCGCATTAACCATGGGTTAACACTAAATAAGCCATAATATCCACATTACTCATAGAAGAGATACCAGTTATTGTGTGATCCACTTTTCATTCACTGATTAACTTTTACTTTTTATACCTATAACAAATATATCCTTTAAAATGTAAACAGATCTTTATATTTTATACTAACCTGGCTACATCTGGATATTCCATTAACAATTTTCTTAAATATTTAATATCCATTTTAAAAAGATCATAGTTATTCTCAAAAAGTCTATTTCAAAAGCAAGAAAAAAGTATTTCTGACAACAATCAACAACCATATTGACTTTAAATTTGACAGTGCCATTTCGTTTAGACACACATTTCAGATCACAATAATATGAAATTTGCGACCGTTGTCTGGAACCAATTAAAAAATTACTTCTATGACATTTATTCGTTTCTTAACCGCTCATTGGCCGTTCACCGACTACGGCCGATAAAGATAATTATTTCATAAATTTTGAACACGACTATATTTCGAAACTCGCTCTTAGTAACAAATCTAGTTACTTTTCCCTGTGTAAATGCGTCTTTTCAATTCGCTCCTCCTAGTTTAAAAACAGAGTATAGTATTTGTCTTAGTGAAAAATACAATGAAATTTTTCTATTGATCTTAAAGCAACTTTATTTACAATAAAATTATTCTCTTGTATTATCGATCATCTAAGTAAATTCCTATAATTTGACTATTCTATTTAAGAAATCATGAAAAGAAAAATTATAATAAATTTTAATTGACTTCAATACATTTTTAAAGAAATGAAACGCATTAAATTTTATCTACTCTATATTTTTTTACTTCGACTAAAAATTATCGTTTTTTCTAACGCCAATTAGTTATTAAAAATGTCGAAATTTTCAATCAAAGGAGCTAAGAGTGGAGGCCATAAGTACGTTTAGTATATTGTCAATAACATCTTGTTAAAAAGGTACTTTCGTCTTTAAATTGGTACTAAAATATCAGCTTTTCTGATGTTAGAACAGCGTTTTCCATTACTTAAACTCATTAATTATATACTGTTTTTTTTTTTTTCAGTTTTCTACCATGGAGTGTGGTTGTGAAGCTCAAAACTATGGGCCTTATTTGGCAGACAATTGTGGAGCAGGTAATTTCATCGTTTTCATGGGTTTGATAGACGCCATTATAAGAAATACGTGCGACGTTTCGGCTATTTGCGACAGAGTCATACCCAGAACAAGACCCGATCTTGCATATGATTACATCGTTATTGGAGGTAAGCTTAGCCATTTTTCTGCTTCATTTTTAAAAATTATTCTATAACGAAATCATTCGACAAAGGTTCATACCTTCGCAGATATTGCACAATGTATACAACATCTGTAAAAAGATTAACACTTTTTAATACATTATAAAGTAGTACGTTCTCTAATGAATCCTACCATCAATAGAGTAGTACAAATTGATTTAAAATAAAATCAGTTAATATCACATTATAATAGACTCAAATCTGCTTTTTTTAAAGCAATCTTTTAGTTTTCATACAAATTAAATATTTAACCCCGTTTAATTTCAGGTGGAAGTGGTGGCTCAGCTGTAGGTGGAAGATTGGCTGAAGATAAACATCGAACGACTCTACTATTGGAAGCTGGAATCGACGAACCCGAGGCTTATCAAGTACCAGCATTCATGCTTGCCTACCACAGTGATCCCATCGTAGACTGGAACTTCCAAACAACTGGAGAACCCGTTGGTTGTCAATGTAAGCATATAATAAACATTTCTAGCCATTTTCTGTTTGGTTCGAGTCTGATACGTAAAATTAATACTTCAATAGAACAAAATTATTGGATAAAATATTTTTTTTTAATATTCCTCAGCCACAAACGGTAGGTGCAAATGGCCAACTGCAAAAATGCTAGGAGGTGGTTCTTCAGTAAACGGTATGATGTTTACCACAGGAACAAAACCAGATTTCGATAACAGATGGCAAGGAGCAGGCATTGATGGTTGGTCCCACGACGATGTCTTACCTTTCATCAAGAAAGCTGAAGGGAACCTACAGGTAAGTGTTTAGCAAGACTGACAAGTTAACTAAACTAGCAGGGACTAACTAATTTCAGTACGACAAATACGATCCCAATTACCATGGTAAAAACGGACCAATGATAGTATCTGACCAATATAATGTACCAGATTTTGCGCATGCTGTTATGCAGGGTGCTGCCGAAGCAGGGTTCCCTATTTCAGAAGATTTGAATGGTTATAACCACACAGGATTTGCCATTCCCCAATCATTCATTTTGTAAGTATAAACATTTCTAAAATCAAATTATTCGGTTCCCTGCAATCATCGTTGATTGATCATTAGTCCGAAGGGAGGTTGCGTTAACAAATCTTTTGATGTCTTTTTTAACTATTGTTTTATTTAGGAATGGATCCAGAGTAAGCATGGCCAAGGCTTACCTGAGACCCCACCGGAATGACAAAAATCTACACATCATGCTTAACTCCACAGTCACCAAAATCCTCATTAACCAAGAGAGCAAGACAGCAATCGGAGTGGAATTCGTCTACAACAACGTCACATACCGGGTAAAAGCTAAAAATGAGGTAATTCTAGCAGCAGGTACCATGAACTCACCCAAAATTCTGTTACAATCTGGAGTCGGTCCGAAAGATGCTTTGGACGCTGTCGGAATCAAGCAAATTCACGATTTACCGGGTGTTGGACACAATTTGACCAATCACGTGGCATTCGCGATGGTTCACAATATCAATGCAGCTCCTGATTTATTGGATACGGTTACTTTTGAAACTGTTCAACAGTATTTGGATACCAGGAGTGGCCCTCTTGCAAATCCAGGTATGGAGACAATAATTAATTAAGATATAGTCCATTAGACAATTTTCTATTAAATTTATCCGTTTTTGTTATCTAGGTCTTCCAGTAACCTCCAGACTGCCCTCAACAGTTACGGACGCCAGCGATCCAGATATCCAGTTGTTCTTCACAGTGACTAGCCACCAGTGTAGCTCGACCGGTGAATCAGGACTACCATTCGATCCAACCAACCCAAAAGCTGTCAAAACTCTCAGCATCTCAGCTGTATGTTTGCAACCAAAGAGTCGTGGTAGAATCACGTTGAAATCCAACGACCCATTTGAGCCACCTATTATGGTTGGTAATTATTTGACCGTGAAAGACGACGAGGATAGACTAATAGATGGTATCAGATTGGTCCAAAAATTGGTTGCTAGTCCTACTTTGAAAGATAAGTGGGGCCTTGAATATAAAAATACGACGCATGGAGACTGCGGAGATAAATACACGTAAGTCAATATTAAATCAAAGATTCTTTGTGCCAGAATTAGTAGAGGATGTAGCGATACCAGGGATTCCCGTCTACTCTCAAAAACATACTCAAGACGAGACTAGAGTATCATGTCTTAAATATTCAATTTTAGCTTAATTAAGAGATGCTCACTGCATCAATAAGTATTAAGGTTTTATCTTCGTTAAGATAAACCTAAAAAAAATCTTCCAATACCATTTAACTGTCAATAGCCAACAAAAAATGCGATCAATTTTGCAGATTCGATTCTGATGACTACTGGCGTTGCGCTATCCGATGGAAAACTGATCCAGAAAACCACCAAAGCAGTACATTGAGAATGGGTCCAGAAGGTGACATGTGGACTGTTACAAACAACAAACTTCAAGTAGTCGGTATCAAGAACTTGAGAGTTGCTGACGCGTCCGCTATGCCAGTCGTACCTTCATCAAATACAAATTCTGCAATTGTGATGGTGGCTGAAAGAGCTGCTGATTTCATTAGAAGCAGATGGGGTTGAGTTTTTATCATAATTTAATATACAGTTTCTGTTAATTTTTTAGTTTCATTAATACCATTAACCCAACAAGTAAAAGTATTTGGCAACAAACACAAATCCGAAAAAGGTAGTGAGTTTCATCATCATCAACTTCTTTTGGTGTACTAATCAGGAATTTTGGTTATTCTTTAGTTTTCTTAAAAGTGAAAGTTTGTTTCATAGAAAACAAGTTTCCACCTAACGAATGTCCCAATAGTATTGGGACAAAGTTTAGGGGTCTAAAAATAGGATATAATGATAAAATATCAAAATGGCTTCATAAACAAAAAATTGTTTATTTTATTGACATTTGTTGGACAAGTCGGCTGTTTATGTCAGTTTGATTAAAATGTCTTATTAGTTAGAAATAAGAAAAATCATTTATAATTTGGTTGGACGGATTACTAAGTTTTCAAAACCAAATATTTCGCGCATAAGTATATTGATGTTTCACCAGTGGATATTGTTATTAAATCTACTATTTCCGAAAAAAAGAAAAGTTAAATGACTTTTCGTAATACTTCAAAAAATTATTTTATACATCAATCAATATTTAAAAAAAACCTTAACTACCAGAACAAAAGTAAATACGAATCAAAGTAATAGTCTGTAGATAAATAAGGTTATATAAAAGTAGATACATCAACACCTTTCCTCATTAAATAATTTATTTTCTTCTATTATTAAGCCAATTTTCATTAAATATTTGAGACTGGGTCTTGAAAGAGGTTTTGTCATGTCTGATAATTGTTGTTTCGAATCAATCTTCTCTACGTTAATGGAGTCTTGGGATACCAATTTTCGAACAAAAAAATGTCGGGATGTTTTTTCTTCTATGATATTCTGGATGTTTAGCTAACTTAATTGCTGCTTCATTGTCATCTAGTAGATCCGGAACACTCTGGAGATCAACTATCTCGTTATAAAGACGTTTTTGCCAAATTAGTTCTTGTACTTTCACTGGCGCCTACTATTTCTGTCACTGTCGTAGAAATAGCTACTGATGTCTGCTTTTGGCTTAGCCCGAAGATAGCACCATTTGCATTCTTGTAATCAACACCTGTAGTTGACCTTCCTGTTTGATCATCTCATATTCCTAGTCGGCATCACTATATCCTTGTAGGTATTTCTTCTTCCCATTAGCTGTGAACGTAATTCCAAGTTCTATTGTACCTTTAACTTTAAGACATCTAAAAATCCTCTTCACATGCATCCAGTCACTGCAAGTTGGGTTTTCTAGTGATCTTGATACAATCGCGGTGGCATACGCTATATCTGGCCTAGATCCTACCATAAGATACATTGGAGCTCCAAACTTAATTTTGATCTACCTTTCCTGTTTGGTTAGTTCCTTTGACAATCGGTGTAGACAAAGCTATACATTTTTACATTCCAAACTGCTCTAAAATGTTCTTTATGTAAGCTGTCTGACTGACATGAATAGAACCCTTTCTGTCAATGTCAATTTCTAACCCTAAAAAATAGGAAGCTGCCTTCGCTATAATTTTTTATTCTTTCTCCAATTCATATAAAATTATTTTTCCAAAATGTTGTTACTTGTCAGAAGTCCGTCATCAACATAGAGATCTAAGAGCATGATATCCGTCCCGTTTTTGATAAACAAGCATGGAGCTGCACCACTTTGCTTAAAATGTTGTTTCAGAAGGAAGTCTACCGATTCTTTTATTCCTTACATCTTGGTGCCTGCTTGTGTCCATAAAGGCTACGTTGAAGACGACATACTTAACTTGTTCTATCTTGATATCCCTTCGACTGTTTCATGTACACTTCTTCTAAATGTCCACAGAGAAATGCAGTGGAGGTATCAAACTGACAAGACTCATTTTTTCACTCGCAGCAATACATAGAAGAACTCTAATAGTCCCCGATTTAGCAACAGGACTAAATGTTTTGATCGTAGTCTTCGCCGTATTTCTGAGAGAATCCTTTATTAACCAATCGAGGTTTGAATTTTTCGATAGAACCATCCGGGTTTATTTTAATTTATTAAGCCTATTTACATGGAATGGCGTTTTTCCATTATGCAGATTTTGCAGAACCCAAGCACCATTTTCTCACAAGGAGCTTATCTCTTTATCCATTGCATCTTTCCACTTATGACTAAGATCGCTTTGTATAGCTTCTTTAAGGTATTGTGGTGGTTCTATGTATTTTACAAATACCCTCATTATAAAATTTTCAAACCTGGTGTGGTTTTATCTCTTCATGCTTCCTCAACTGTCTTCTTTCAGTCAAAGGTATTTTTTTCAACTTTCTATGTTTATATATTCTTCTTCAGCGCTCAATGTAATTTAGTTTTCAGTGTTTTCGAAACAACTATCTGAGTTTAATTGTTCATCTTTCAGGCCTTTGTGTTTCTCCTCGGATCTTTGAGAATTCATTGAATCCGACTAAAGTTTGTTCTTCGAAGATGACATCTCTAGATCTGATGAGTTGCCTAGTTTATTTACACCATACGCGATATCCATCATTGTTGTTATAGCCAAGCAATATGCCTTTAACAGCTTTCTTGTCCATTTTCATAAGACGTGGATTTGGTATATGTGCATAGCAACTCCTAAGTGCTTCAGGTTCGATTTCTTTTTCATCCAAACTTCAAATGTAGATTCATTACTTTTACTAGAGATACCTGATCTGTTTAGGATATATACATTTCAGTCCAAAGATTATCTCTAGCCTGCATAAGATATATTGTTGTCTCCTCAACGATCGATAAGATATTTTACATGTCTCTTATTTTGGTGTCCAAATCTTTCGTGATATAGCTGCAACGGGCTATCAACCGACAGCTTGTTTATATCTTGGTTTAGAGCAGGTTACGTTTTGAAGAGTTAATTTAAATAATCCTCCGAATCGATGTCGAACACCTACTAATTTGACTGTTCCATCGATAATCAACTTGCAATCTTCTGTTCTTGAACAAAACTAGTTAGTTTAAGAAGTTATGATTTGCCATATACAGTGGCTTGTATTATTATTATTGATCCTCTGCCAACTGCCTCTATTGCGTCACCATTGGCTGTAACAGTATAACCAGAATCAAAGTGTTTAAATGTTTGAAACATATCATATCTACTGGTGATGTGATTTGTAGCACCATAATCTACAAACCAGTTGTCTGGATCATTTTCTACACTTAAAACTTCAGAACTAAGTGACTGGTGTTATATTTATGTCCTTGTATTGATCCCTTCTATTGCTTTTGTTTGTCTGGGGCTTTGGAGGACGTCCGTCGGCTTTTCATTTGGTACATTGACGAACTCTATAGCCAGCTTGCTATATACAGATCTCTCATCAGTAGCCCGCTAGACTTGAAGGAGAACTATTCTCCAGATAATGTTTTTGGCAAATAAGTAACAATTCGGGTAAATCACATGTACACTGATTCTGTAGTGTTAATTTATCTTGAGCGATCTCTTGTTGAAGTCAGGTTAAAAATGAACTGTCATTTTTTTGCCATAAATACAATAATAGAAATATATCGATTTTTTACTCGTACCCTAATCAAATTTAACCATTTTTTGGATAGTTAAAAAACCTCATAATTACGCCGTTGGTTCGTCGGAAGGGGATGGCGAACGGCGTAGGAATATTGAGTATATGATTTAAAGATGTTTCGATGTTTCCCTAGGAATATAATCGACCTGGTTTAGTTTTAAATAACCATTTCTTGGAAGTTGCTCATTTTGTTTCGTTTACGATGGCCCACCCTATATGCAGAATAGCATGTCCATGTAGGTACAATCAAATTTAAAATTTTAAACTTGTGTTTCTATTGCAATACTTTTCCAGTCATTACTAAATATTTAAAGCGTTATTTACTTACCTAAATAAAAAAGTAGGTAAATATATCTATCTACATAAAATATATACATTTTAGCATGAATCACCATGTGAGTATATATAGGTCTAGTTAATTGCGAAGCAGCACGATGGGAAACTCTGACCTAAAGAGAAAACCCAACTATGTCAGATTGGCGCCAGAAACATATTCTCTTCACTTACGAAGGAAAAAAACCGATAGAAAAGATAATGGAATCGGAACAGATTTGGAACGGGAATGTTAGCTATTATGTATTATAAGTAATGTATAGTATTATTATATTACAATCATCTTTTTATAGAAATATTTCATACCTATCTACTGTTGGTAATGGCGAAATTATAGTCCGTTACTCGATTAAAATTAATTAAAAAAGCAAATAGTTTAAGACTAGTCGTGCTTATATTTTAATAGATTTGCTTTTGTTCTATAATATACAGGGTAAAATAAAAGTTTAATATTTTCAAGATATTTTAAAAACTTTTTGGGATTTTCTGTCAGGTATTTATTTTTCAATATTATAAACTCTTGTACATGTATTATAAACTATTTTTTAATCTCAGGGAGTAGAAATTTTGTGCGAAGAGTATGGCAGAAATGCAAATTTTGTACGATGCACATAAAAAGAAAAAACTGGTTTTCTATTTGCTAGATTTCAAAAATAAAGGCCGATTTATAATCCTGTTTTTTCTAGCTTTTTCAGGGGACAATAACCTAAACTAAGGCAAGACAAATTTACAAAACACAATTTCTGATTCAAAAGCTTCAAAGCCCCTTATTTAAGCCATTTGGACAAGGAGTTAGGGATGCTATAGTTAGCACAATCAAAATATGAAATAACGCGGCATATTGTAGGCGAAGATATTCGTCGTCAATAGTTCCAGAGGGTATCTAATGGGGCTATACATTAGACTTTGTAAAGCTACTTTCAAATTAGCGCACTTATATTCTGTGTTGCTGTCACCGTTCGTTGTTGAAAATTTAAACATAACAAAGTTTTAAGTTTAACGGCGACTGCAACGTCAAACAAACGGTAACGGCGATGGAAACTGCAAATTTATAAATAGACCTTAACTACTCAGGATACAATTTTAAAGAAATTCTTTGATGATTATTCAAAATATAAATTAGATGTTATTGAGTGACCTTAGCCTGTAAATTAATTACTTAAAT